CTATCACACCTCTGGTTGGAAACCAAGATTAGTAAACTTTTCACCCAAGAAAGGTTGTAGCAACAGGTTAGGCGGAATGAGGATTCTCAGTTATTCTCACTAACAAACTGTAGTGAGATAAATCTTCATTTTATTAGAATCTGGAGTCTTTCAGACACACACACCTTCATGTAACTTGTGTGTTATAGGTGATCACTGGTAGGGAAAGCTCAGCTGCCTTTCCGTTTCCTTTGACAGGCAAACTTGTAGGTTTACATGCTGCATCTTTCCCTCCCTCCCTAAGTTCTGCTTGCAGTGGGTCAAGATTTGGTGAATAATTAAAACCTAAGCATCTAATGGATACGAGATCCTATGCTCTGTACGGGATGTCATCAAACCAACTTAGGCGGTGTCAACAGGGTTTTGAACACTGGATGGAAAATTCTGACACTCCCATGGCTCTCCGAGCTGGCGTGTGGCATCCCATTTGAATTAACTGATCTTCCCATTTCTTTGACAGAGTACAATGGTACATCATGGTATTTGTATGGTGATTTGTGTCTTTGAATGTGTCTTCACCTCTTTATTGTCCCTGATCCTGACATCAAAAGAGGACAGGATGCAAGGTGGATGGGGCAGTGCCACTTATAGGAAGAAAAACCACACATCTTGGCAGTAGAGTCTGAGGGTTTGTGTCTCTGACACTGGGTCTATGGCACCCTCTGGGTCTTGAGGTGCCATCTGGGCATTGAATTAAGTATCCATTCTGCACCATGTAGTTCTGGATGTGAATTCCAGTGCTAAGAACCTCTTTTTCTTGGGCATTTGCAGTCCACCCATAGCACTAACTCTAATTGTCAAGGAAATTGAGCATTCAGTTATTCCAAACACCTTATTTTCAGGAGTGTGGGTAAGAGCATAAAACTTGAGATAGCCAACAAGAGGGCCATTTACACAGAATGATCAAAATGTACAGTGAATATTAATTTAAAATTTTTTTACAGTAAGAGGTATGTTGATATTAATCCTCCCATACCAAAGTACTTCCCCTCACTTTAAATATTCTTCCTGTGTCTAGGTATTCTCGATGATTTCTAAGGCAGTTCTGAATTGTCTTTCATGATTGTCTTTGCTAGGTGTGATAAAAAAAAAAAAACACACAGTGCATGCTGTTACCCAGCGTCATCAACGGGAAGGCACGCTTGTGAAAACATTACGACGTGCATCCTTGTCCACCTGATTCACTGGATCTGCACCTCATGACTTGTGGGTCTTCCCCAAAACCAAAGTGAAACTGAAAGGTAAATGTTTGTAATTTACCCAGGGCTGGGAGACAGCCACAGCAGTGTGACGAAAAGCCCGAAAGAAAGAGCACTTCCAGAACTGCTTTGGACAGCGGCAAGGATGATGGGACCAGCATGTTGGAAGTGAGGGGGGATTTTGAGGCTGATTAATGTGACACTGTGTCTTTTACTGCAATGCATTTTTAAACATTCAAGAGTTCACGTATTTTTCAGCCACACTTCAGAGTTGAGTCTGCCCATTTAAAGCTGAGTCAAAGCCCAGGAAAGAGAAGCAACTCTGGGCTTCCAAATTGGCTGCCAGTTGGTCACTGGGCTGCATCAAAGATGCGAAGCCACACCCACCTCAGAGAGGGTGACAATTTTCCCAGGGTTCCTCTCACAGTGATCACAAGGACAAAAGAAGTCACACCGTATACATGATTTTTGGCAAAACTGATGAATTAAATACATGTATACATATTTGTGTAAAAACATTAAGTTCAGAGAAATGATGTATTCTCAGGACATTTAAATTAATTTTAGAAGCAATGGTATTCTTTTCATTTGAGTCCTCTGTATGGAGGTTTGTTTAATACTTTGTCAATTCTCTAGGAATTTAAGACCAATAAACCACTGGTTTGGGAGTTAGCCTCCTGAGCCCACTAATCTCATGTACTTAAAATAATAATATCAAATATGGAACAAAAGCTTACTGTGGTGAAGAACTCTAATTACTTTTATCCATTTGATTTTCTCAAGCACTCTAGAAGGTTGGTACTATGATCTCATTTTACAGACAGGGAGGCTGAGGCTCAGAGAACCGGTGGCCACATCCTTCGTGAATCAGTCTTGGTTTAAATGAACAGAGTCTGAGTGTAGAACCTATAATTTTAAACACTGCTGTTCTGTCTTCCTGTTCATATTTCAACAAAAATTCTTGTAGATTTTTATTTTCTGATAAACATGAAGTGAATTTCCAATTAAAAATGCAGTAAGTTCCTGGGCATGGTGATACATGTGTAATCCCAATACTCAGGAGGCTGAGGCAGGAAGATCACTGTGAGTTTAAGAGCCTGGATTACACAGTGAGTTCAAGGCCAGCCTAGAAGACATAGTGAATGCTTTTCTCAAAAAAAAATATGCACATATGTATATCTATAGTAAACTGCTCAAATTTTTCTCCTAAAAATTTCTGAATTTGGTAATAGTGTGATGTCCAGACAGATGCCTTCCTGAATTTATGGGAAAAGGCTCTCCAAGGTTGTTGATCACAGGACCCAGGACTTTTGGGTGTGAAACTTCTGTAGCAAGCACTATACCTTTAAGGAAAATTCTAAACCTGCATAACCTCTCTCATAATTTGGGCACTTGGTACAGAATGTAATGAAGACATATACTTAAAAAGATAACAAGCGATGAGCAAATGATTATTAAGCTGGGTCTGAAAGCCCAATTATGTTTCTGCTTGCTTCTAGGTGATAAAGAGGGCAGCATGTTATGTTTTTGCCCAGCTCATTGATTCTGTAGTGTCATCCACCAAATTTTGCTGGCTGATCAGTGCAGATTTAATGTGACTATCATGGCACAAGCAGGCTTCCCATCTCGGGTGAAAGAACTTGGAATTTTTGATTTTTTAATCTACCACCCCTTCCCCCATTTAATAAGGGTGACCCCACCGAGAGCTGGAACGACCTCAGGGTGCCTCCTTTACAGCTCTGTCTCCCCTGACTTACTACCGGCTCTTTCAAAGGGTACAACTTACCAGAGAAAATGCCACATAAAATTTTATACTTCTCATATTCTGTTTCCCTTTTTAAGTTGCAAACGGAAGATTGTACCGCACTGCAACCAAAAGACCCCCTTGGGCAAGAAGCACACAATGGAGAGCTATTTATAAGGTTTATTTTTTTTTATTTATTTATTTATTTTAGGTGCTAAAACTTGGTTTTGAGATTTTATTTAAAAAATATATTTGCAAACATATAAAATTTAAGATGAAAAATGCTCATTTTAAAACATGTAATAACTTAATATTTGCAAACATACACAGATGGTATAAAACCCATACCATTAAAAATGTTAATGATGCAGTATCAGTATTGCGCTTGTGGAACAAAAAATCTTGCTGTCACCCCACAGCTTCTTGCCCCACACTGCTGGGAGCCGAGAATCCAGTACAATGAAGGTCATGAGAGCCACATGGCCAAAGCAGTGACACAGGATAAAAAGATCACTTAGAACACATATTTTTAAAACATGTTTCCTTAGGATTCGCACAGACAAAGGGCAAACACAATTCTGCATTTTTCCCACTTGGAAATGATCAATATTGCATCTTAGCATTTAAAGGAAAGATGCCAAATCCAAATCTGAGAAACATTGCACGTATCTCTCCTGCTGAAATCTGCTGAAAAACAGGCTTCCTGAGGCCCTGGCCCACTCACTGAAATGTTCTCAAGCATAGGTTTTAAAAAGCCTAGTGTAAGCTGCTCTGCTCAGATCTCAACATTTTAGACAGTGAGAAGCAGAGCACTATTGCTTCTAGAAGGTAAACGCAGCTGAAGGAAACCAAAGGGAGGCAAGAAACATGTTCTGCACACAACACGGGGCAAGGATGCAGGGCGCAGTCCCTGACCCCTCACAGTCCTCTTTGCCATGCTGCAAAAGCTCACCTGTGCCTGCGCCACCTCACTCCTCCCCAAGTTACAGTGGGATGGCTGATTCTGTTTTGTAAGCAGTTAGGCACCTTCAATTTCACATTGCATTATTAGTAATACGTTGGCAGTTATGGCCTCTACTATCAAAAAGAGAAAGATTCAAACTACATTCTTTGGGGCAGGAGAATAATAAAGCTGCATGGTTTAAAAATATTTACCTAAGAGTGGATTTGGTGGGATTTATGGTTTCTACAAGAAAACACAGGCCAGAAATATAACAAATGCATGGACATGCAAATTCTATCAGATACATTCTAAGGTAAGCCTGTGCATCCTCCTGTGAGAAGGGCCCAGGCTGACTTAAATTCTGAAAAAAAACCCAAAACACTTCTGTTCAAGGTAAGCTGTGGACATTCCACACACAGACTGCATGAAATGCTGCTTCTGACATTGATGGTCACTTGAAAACTTAGGTTCCAAGGTCAAGCAGGCCAACTTTTACACCTCACAAATCCCAGGAGAGATGCTCGAGAGGAATAAGGCCATCTGCAAGGTACATAGGTGTGTATGATTTGTTCAAAGACATCGCTTTACAACATGAAGAGCAGCGCCACCCATTGGTGATCCTGTACACATACCATGCTCTGGGCTGCAGAGGTTAGGGGAATGGATATATGAATAGATGGACTGAGTGGTCTAAATGCAGGTCTCCCGGGGTTCTGCAAAACCTAGCAAGAAGCACCTCCATCTTGGTGTTCACTTCTGTTCTAAGTTTCCAGTAAAGATGCGGCAGCAATGTAAATGTGCAATCTAAGCTAGCATGAGGTTCTGGAGAGTAAGCCTGAACGAAGAATAAGGCAACTGAACTGTGACTAGCCAAGGTCATCCAACTGCAAGAATCCAGGCTTGGCCTGGCTCTCTGGGGATTCATTTTGGCCTGAACTTCCTGGTAATCAGGACCACAAACTTCTGGCTTCTGCATTTTTATATAAACTTGGGAGTGAAACAGGTTTACCTTTTTCAAGTCTCCATGACTTGGGCACTTAAGTTTACTTTAACACTAAGGAAGCCTTATCATAGATTTTCTTTTACTGTCCATCATATTCATTCTGAGGATTAAAGGGTGACTGACTATAGCCCCTCTGTAGGGTATTCTCTTTGTACGCTCTCATATTATTAAACATACTCAAAAGCATCATTTAAATTCAAATGTCTATTATAGCGAGAATCCCTTGATTTGTCTCTTTCCTAAAGCCCCTGAGACTATACTTGGGGCATGATCAAACCAACCGGTAAATTCATTTTATGAGAACAGCCACATGGCTTTCTGCACACCATCTCTGGTGTCAGCAACACTCCTTATCTTACCGTAACTTTCTCTCACTGTAACTTTCTCTATCTTGGATTACGTATTAGCAATTCATTTTTGGTTGCTGAGTCTATATACTATCTTTGAAAACAAACTACCCCTAATAGAGTATGACAACCTATAAGCTTCCCTGAATTCTACACGATTCACACATAACTAGGTAGACAGTAAGAGAAGACACTAAACTGAGCAGAAACACTGTCTAGGAAGCATGTTAGATCAACAGAAGCCAATCAGACGAAGTATTCTTTATCCTAAAAAAACTAAGACCAAACTAAAGTATGTAATTCACAAGTAATTTCCTAAAATTTCAGCTAGAAAACCCCCCTACAGATTTATGATTGAGTTACCATTAAAGCTTAAATGATTGTTCCCAAGGAACCATCACATTTGTCAGCATTATTCACAGCTAATCCTTATGCTAGCTGGTTGAGCCACGTGGGTTTTTACCCCATCATTAAATAGTGCTCAGAAAAGTAAGCAGTGCATCTTAACTGGTTAAATACTACAAAATGATCTGTATCATAGAAACGAAGACACTTTCATTCAAAGAATATCTTAAAATTACTATTGCTGAAATAAATCAAAATCTACATTAAAATATTACTAAACACCATTACATGCCATAAAAGAATAAATATAAATCATGGCAGATCAATAGCAGCATAACAAAGCATCTTTACACATTTTCACACTTTGGGCTGGAAAAATACTCACAGCCTAGGAATACACTGGTAAAGTTCTGAATCTCACACTTTCTTCTAAATGCCATATTCAACAACAAAGTAAGGGCAGTGTGAATAACAGTTCCCTTTTCTGCATAGCTTTAAAACTGTTCTCAGTACACTTGAGGAATGGAACCAGAATGGCTTTGTCAGATTGGTCCACTGGTCCTTTTATGAAAGTGTTAAAACAAATAACAATGAATTTTATCGGTTTAGACAGAAAAGGAAAATAAAAGGCTGTGTTCCACACACAATTTAACATTTCCAAAACCACTGGAAAGTTTAACTTAAAATGAAAATTTCTGGTAGGATTTGAGCATTCCCAGTCCCAGCCTATTTCAAATTCTGTATCACCAAAAATCTCAGAAAGACCCTATTTGAACAGTAATGCTGCATTGGTGCCTGCTGCATGGCAGGAGTGTGGACATTTAAAAACAAGATGCTGACAAATTTCACAATTTTAAAGGCCCAAATGGGGGCATACATTTAAAATATACTTTGCTTGAACAAATAATTCCTAATTTGTCAACTTAAACTCTGATCCTTTAAAACTCAAAGTTACTGTTAGAACTGATTTCTATTCTGTTCCACACTTGACTGTCAGCCTAATGCCGCCTCTAGTGGGCGGGTGGGTGGGGAAGGGGTGCAGGTGAGGTTGAGTTCTGCTGCAAGGCTGGTGGCTACTTCTCCCTAAGTCCTTGAAAATGAAAGTAAGCTGAAAAACCAGACTCCCTATTTCACATACTTCTGCATAGCTGATGAAAACACCCATATAGCTTAATACAATGGTCGTTTTGTTGTTTTGTCAAAATAAAAGTCTGCTGGTGATGCTTCACAGTGAAACCTCCATTGTCACTGAGAATGTCACTTAGAAACATTCTTAAGGACTGAGTCTTTCATAGGCTCGATTTCATAATTCTCAAAACTCCATGTTCTACTTAGAAAGAAATTTCCATGATGAAGTCAATTTGTTCTTGATTGACCTCTGCCTTCGGATTTATTCTACTCCAGTCATAGGTTGTGGTTGTCTTTGCTCTTGGTCAGAACCTGCAGGTAAACTTCATGAAGTGTACTGAGGAAGCTGGAATCATTCTTAATCAGATGTATCAATGTATCCTGGAGCTGAGACTTGCTGAGAATAAGGGAAGACTTTCTCTGATTTTCTGGTGTGCCAATGGTGAGGGGAGAAGGAGAATTTGCTTTTCTCTCAAGGTCGGCAGACCTTGGAACAGTCTGCTGAAAAACACTTGGCGATAGCAGGACTGAAGATACTGCTGTGGTTGTCGCAGTAACCAATGGAGGGCCTGCAACCGAGATGGCACTGGATAGCATCTTAGGCTGGGCAAATACTTCAGGGTCCTGGTTTTGCTGCATAGACTGAAGGGGAGCAAGCACCATGTTGCTCAGGGAGGCAGAGGCCACTGTTCTGGCGGCTGCTGTCTTCGGGGGAGGCTCTATGAAGCTCTCGGGTGTGGCCAGCTGGCCAGCTGCTGGAGGAAAGCTGGGTGCTACAGCACCTTTCCCAAGTGGCTGTGTCTGTATTTGGTCATGCTGTGAAGTCAACCTGAGTTTCTGCAGAAGATCAACACTTGGGAGGGGTGTGCCAGCTGTGTTTGTCATACTCAGTGGGGCCCTGAAGGGGCTCTGGCTGGCAATTAGACTGCTGTGGCTTAGCTCCTGGATTGGCTGGTTCAACAGTGGAGACCTCTGCCTAGGTGTGGTTTTCATTGCAGGCATCATAGTGCTATTTCGAGGTAATGCAGGGGCAACCTGTGTAGTAGCAGCTTCAGGTGGCAGAGTGGGACTGAGAACGGGGCTCAATGGGCTCGTGTAGCTTGGAGCATGCCTTTCACTAGACTGTGTGATTGAAGCTGGAGTGATGAGCACCGGAGTGGAGACTTCAGGTTGGACTGTGTGGTGAGCAGCTGAATGGACACTTAGGTTTTCCAACTGAGCGGCTTCTCCAGAATGCTCAAAGGGAAATGGTAGGAACGAGCTGGGCTCTTTCTGGGTGGCATCTCCTGCGAGCTTCTCTACTTCTTCTGAATCCAGACCCATAACTGCTGGTTGTTCTTTTGGCAAAGAAGTTCCAAACAATTCTTCCACTGTCAGATGTTTATGTCCAGATGGAGCAGACTTATCTTGTGATCCAGAGGATGTCTCTTCTAGAGTTTCAGTGCTTCCTAGATTGAAAAGCTGAGTGCTTGGCTGTAACCCAGGGCTGGAGATATTTAAGTCGCCCATCTGAGCCCTCTCGTACTCATCCTTGGCTCTACTCAGCATTTCCAGGATGTCAATAGGCCTATGGTCACTGCAGCCATTGGCCTGGCTGGGACTCTGTTTATCTCGAGCAGCTTGCTGGGATCACCGTGTCTCCTCTTCTACCACATCTGCCATGAGTTTTGCTATGCGGTGACAGTCGTTCTTGTCATAAAACCAGATACTGTATATTGATAAGCTTGCATTTCTATACAGAAGAAATGGTTCATGGAGTTGAAATTCCAAATCTTTATTCACTGGTTCAACTAGATTGTGCATATTCAGTCGATTTACAATGGTAAAACCATGGTAGGGTGAGGCTGACCGTCGATATACAAATAAGGTCCCTTCTATATCTGTCTTCTCCCACTGGTTGGCCTTGGGGCAGAAGGTGTACAGAGCGACCTGGCCCGTGAGGTCTGCGATGCTGGTGATGTAGGGGTCGTGTTGCTTCAAAGCCGCCAGACTCATCTCCTGCCCCGCTCGACTCAACGACTCCATCTTGAATCTCGAAGCTGAGCCCCTCCCTATTTATAAGGTTTAAATTATCCATATTAGCATACTTAAGATTCACCAGAGTGGGTCCTTGATGCCAGGTGCAATCCACAGTGATGCCTCTGCATTTGGTCCCATCGTCCAGTACACAGATTCTCCCAGGGAGAAAATGTCCAGGGAAAGCACAGCACTACAAGATCCCTGCAGGAGTTAACTAATCTACCCCCTGCCTCTGGCAGGGCCAAAAGCAAAATCCATTTGGGGATCCACACAGGCATAGAGCACTACCTGGTTTGCAAAATCTGATTGGCTCCATCTCTTTCTACTTTTTAAGTGAGCGCTGTAGGCAAAGTATGAGAAAAATGATTTATATATAGGTGTCCATGTCTACAGTGGGCTCTTCTTGATCATTAAGTATTTATTAAAATTCTCCCATACGTAAAGGTCAGCATTAAGTTTTCAAGTTAACCCAATGTAGGGAAAAGTATGCTCACACTACAGTTTGGGTAAGAGGACAGGACACACACCAGATATGTCTGTATGGAAGATGACATTTGATTGTGTTGATATGAGTATCAGAGACCTAAAAGATACCAGCACACACAATTCTCACCACGTTCACTTGGACGTCTAGCTCTGTGCTCTCACATGCAGGGAATCTATTCACAGCATTTCCAAACTATAAAAACTTAATTTTAGTGAGACTAAAGATATCTAATTGTCCTGTCTTGAATTCTTGCCCAGAAATGTATCTGATGCCTATCCCACCACTGGTGCTGCCATTTGGATGTAAAAATCCAGAGGCCAAACCCAGGGCTCCATGCAGGACAGAGGTTCTCAATATTCCCCTGAACAAAGGTGTGGGCTTTCCCATTGCAAAAAAGGGGGTTAATGTTCCCTCACTCCATATCTCCCCAGATAAGACTCCTGTATGACATTAAACAGAAGGCTGAGTAGAAAAGCTATATATCATTCATTCGTACTTGCATTCAAAGAACTATGAAGGGTTAGACTCTGGTCTTAAAACAGTATGTGGCAGTGACCCTTGTTTGTGAATAATCAAGCCCCCGGGACATGGTGGCAAAGGGCAGTAAGATAGGCGGGTACGAGACATGTGGTCTTGAGGCCAAGAGGGAAAGAAAGAGGTCACATCACCCAGGAGGTGCACAGGTGGTTTCCTTGTTGGTGATATTTAAAGTGGGCTTTGGGAAATAGAGGATCTCATCAGACAGAGAAAGTGTGAGATTCATTCTAGGCAGAGGAATGTGGTGTAAACTGGGGGCCCCGGGAGGCAGAGTGGTTGGAGAAGGACAAGGTGGAATAAGAACCATAGAAGAGCCCTCGGGGAGGAGGCTGGAACTGCTCTTTCACGCCACATACAAAGGCCCTTTTGTGAAGCTCAGTTTGGGCGGAGCTAGCAATCTCAAACAGGCATGGATGTGCATGGCTTGGGTGAGACAGCGAGGGGTATCGAGGTGGGGAAAGCAGGAGAGGGGTGCTTGGAGGCCATTGTTCTAGTCTAGGTGATGGAAGACAATGGTTGGCCCTCTGAGGGGAGAGGCGGCCTTGGGGGATTGTTGACTGCAGAGGAGGTGATTGGGATGTAAAGACTGGATCCTGTGGGCAAAGGAGAAAAAGTGGGGGATGTCCTGAGCTGCTTTTGAGACCAGGGAAGATGAGGGAACAGGAGGAGAACCTCACACTTAAAAGGAGTGGGGTCCCGAACCCGGCAGCTTTTGAAATGAGCAGAACTGGAAGCATGCTGTGTTTGTGGGACAAGCAACTGACTGGGTGATAAAGCCCTTGATGATGGGCAGTTTCCCTGTCTGCATCCCCAAAGACAGCTGTGGGACCACTGATCTTGGCCACATCATAGCTGCCACTTGACGTGGTTCTCCAACTTGTTATCAAGATGCCTCCATGGGAAGCTAGATCTGAGGACCAGGAGAAAGTTTCTTTCAAATGTCTGTTTTATCTGAGAAAAGGTGTTTAATGTCTGAATTCTGTTACATAAAATTCTGCATGTGCTTAAAGTTTAAAATTATTTACCAATGAAATTTGCATATTAACCACTCCTCACCCCAAAGCACACATGTCCAGGGCTCCAGAACCCACAGTCTATAACCATCCATCTTCATGAGTGCAAAGAAGCACAGGATCTCATAGGGTCTAATAGGGATCTGATTGTCACCACTGCTGGGATTTGGCAAGAGCCTTGGGTCCTGCATGGGTGCCTCTTGAGTTGTGATATCCCAGAATTCCTCGGCTAAACCTTTGGGCAGAATCTGAGCAAATACAAACTTTGTAAAAACAAAAACTACACTTCAGAGCTCTTCTTTTTTTTCCTTTCTTGAAAAAACAAATAAAAACCAGAACAGCCCTAAATACTAAATTGGATTTTTTTGGTGGCCCTGAAGATTGAACCTAGGGCATTTGACTTTATAGATTCACAAAGGAAGGACACAGTGGAGAAAAAAGTCAAAGAATACACAGGTGCACAAAATACCAAATTTTCACTGTCCTCTGCCTCTTCCCCTCCCCGCACCCTCCTTGAGGCACCTCCTGGGTAACTGTTGTTATAAGGCCCTGTTGCTCACTGTAAGGCTTGGCTGCTGCCATAGCAACCTCTCCTGGGGGCTGCAGGAATCCCGTGGCCCACCCCAGCCTACTGGGAAGATAACCAAGGTGACTGCTACCGCCTTCAAGTCTGAGGACCAAACTTCTTGTACAAGGCGAAGGGAAAACGTATCTCCCGTCACTCTAGAAATTGAGCTTTTTTTTTTTTTGCATCCTCATTTCTGTCCCCCTCGTTGGTGTCCTTGCCTTGCTGCTGGGGGAGGCAGTGAGTTAGTTCAGCATACCTGGTCACGGAGACTTTGCTCTAGTGGGATCAGTTTCCCCACGGCACTTGAAGTCCCCAGCCCACCTGGTCCCTTGCACAGCCTTTCTGTCTTCAGACGTCCCAGGAAACTAAAAACAAAATGCAGCATTAGAAAGAGTGAGCCCCAGGTTTGGTGAGCCTCTCGGCACCCTTGGGTGTCATTCTGAAGCCACTAAGGGAGCATGCACCCCAGCTTCTTGCGACAAACAGCTCAGATTCTGGGTGCCACTGACTGAGCTCCCCAGCTTCAGGCTGCTGAGGAGCCCTTGATGGGTGATGGCATAGACAGGACAGCCATGCCTTCTAGAAAATCGGTCAAAGCCAGGTGTGGCAGGAGGATCGCAAGTTTGAGCCCAGGCTGGGTAAGTTAGTGACTTAATAAGACCCTGTTTCAAAGTAAAAAAATACACAAATGAAAAATTGCTGGGGATGTAGCTCAGTGAGCTGGGTCTAACTCCCAATCCACCACAATAAATAAATAAATATAAAAAGAAAAAGAAAAAGAAAAGAAAAGCACACAGAATGTTAGCCCAAGCTCAGGGAACCGGCGACTCGAACCAGCCTTCAGTTCTGTTGCTGCTCAGGCAGGCGAACATGCTGGTGGTCACACTCCTAACATATTTCAGGATCAGACACTCCAGTCCATCTTTCTCCTGTGAGTAGGGAGAGTTTCATCAAAGTTGAAACTTTCTGGAGGCCGGAAAATAGTATTAGAGTTAAGTGATGACCAGGGCCAACCACGCCTGACTCCTGCGGAGGTAGAGTGGAGGGATGGGTATAGGCACACTATATTCAAATGACTATGTGAGCTAGCCTAGCTGCCACAACTCATAACAGACCCAGCGGCTTGCACGGCACGTGCTTCTCACTGTTGTGAATGCTGGAAGGGCAGTATCAGGACATGTGCTGGGCTCTGGAAAAGGCTCCCTTCCTGGCTGGTAGGCAGCCCCCTCTTTCTGTGTCTTCACACAGCAGAAAGATCATATCTTCTGTCCCTTTTCATAAGGGGACCCCAAATCCCACTCGAGAGGGCTCTGTCCTCTGACCTCATCACCTCCCAGCATCCCCTCTGACGCCACCACTGGAGAGTAAAGACTTCTACACAGCAGTAGGGCTGGGGATACATTCACTGCCTCCATAGCGACAACTAAGAGGATTATGTAAATTAGACACATTGCTTTATTTACACACTTGACATATAAATTGGACAGGGGACAGCCTAGTGTTTTTCAGCCGAAGCTTTATTTTGGTATATCTGAAACTACCCCTCCTTTGGTGCCAGGATTCGCATGCCCTTCTTATCTCTCTCACTACCTCTGTCTCCACTGCACATCAGTCTCTTCTGTGTCTTCATCAACTAAAATAATTTTTAGACTTTAGTTCCTATCCTGTGAAAATAATGTGTTTTTCACTTTTTGGCTGTAAAAGCAGTTACTGAATATCTTTTTCTCAAATGGCATACTGTCAGGCCTGGGGAATTTGGTGCATCTCTTTGGGATAATGTGCTCTTTGAAAGAGTCTCTATCTGAGACCCAAGCCTCTCCTGGTGAGTCAGTGCCATTTGCAGACTGGGAAGAGAGAGAACAAGGCCACACCATTAAGCAAGCCTAGTCTCAGAATCAGCGCCATGCATGGGACCCCCTGGACTGGGAACAGCCAGACCCCAGCCCCTTCTAGTGCATGAGCTGGCATACAAGAAGTACCAACATCCCACCCCACCCTGTAAGTGACCAGCTGATCCAGAGAAATACAGACTGGGTTGATAGCTATGGAGGTGAAATGCAATTGGATGCCTATGGTGCTTTGGTGTTTCACTAACATTGCAGGTCTAAGGCCAGTGGTCTGATCATGGGTTCAGAGTACAGTAGTACACAGTGTGACATCTAGGGGGATCTCCTTCTGAGACTAACAGCCATTGTTGATTCCCTATGGTCTTTCTTTGAAGTCCTATATTGTTTCCATTGTTTTGTTGGGTTGGGTTTTATTCTCTTTTGTTTTATTTGATTATGTTAAATCTGCAGAAGCAGCTATTTGAAAGCAAGATATAGTAACCATTTTGGATTTACTGTTGGCTTGTTTTAAAGTCCTTTATTGCATTCATGGTTTCATTTTTATTGTTTCTATTCTATTCTGTTGTATTTGATTTTTACTATGTCTGAAGTTATCTGCAGCTATTTTGAAGACATTAAAAGCCATTATGATAACTATTGTTGATTTCATAAATGTTTTGAAGTCCTGTATCTCTTACACTGGTTTATTTTGATTGATTTTATTCAGTTTTATTCTCTTAAAAATAAAAAAAAGAATCTCTAACTTAGGAATGAGTGTATTACAGGAGAAATTCTCGAAATGCACTGATGCTTCTGTTCTTGCCACAATTCTGGTTGCAAACCGAATTGGATGAGAACCAAATCAAATTCAATGATTGGGTTCAATGTTGTGGTAGGAACTCTGATTTGGTTTTCATCCAATTCAGTTTGCGACCATAAACGTGTACAGAATAAATCTCATGAACCAAGGAGCCACTGTAATTACTTTGCAAAGATCATGCTGGAAATATGAGGAAACAAGAAGGTAGCTTCTTCTAAGGGAGAAGACAAGATAAAATAGAAGACACGACAATGGATTTGGTTTTTCTTTGACCATTTCTCATGTGTACCTTCCTGCAGATCTCTGCACAGGTCAGATTTGATTCTGAAAGGCATTTGCCTATTTCTAATTTCTAATTTGAGGCACAGTTTGGCATTTTTAAAATAAGGAACTAATTTATTTTTTCCATTGAAAATGAGCCTTTTTAAGAGCCTTGGGAGATGCCCTTCAGACAAGAAATTCCCACCACAGTGTACAAAATTGATGGGTCTTTCCTTAAAGTAGATTTTCATGTGGAGTGGGGAAAGAACATGGGAATTTCATGGTCCTGAAAAAAAGGAGGTGGAGAAACCATGGACAAGAATGAAGCCGATGTGTCTGTTTGGCTGTTTTGCAGGAGTCTCAGAGTCTAAGTGGCTGTGGACAGCTCCCTTCCATGTTCAGGTGATGAACAACCAATGTGGTGTTTCTGCTCCATGTCCCACTGGCACCGGACACAGTAGATGCTCAATGATGTTGACTGAATAAGTGAATTCTTAACAATATTACTTGGTATTCGAATGCCTGGTGGGCAGTTGGTTTGTAACATCCCAGAGGTTCAATCTGCTGTATGCTTTTCATCTGAACATCTTAGGAGAATTTTCTAGAGAATCATAGTTACCATATAATAACCGTAAGGCACAGAGAACAAGTGTCGTAAGCCTGATCTTGATTTTGCCAGTATTGTCTTGGGACACTCTTCATGCCTTGGTTTCTCACTTGTCGAAAAGGATACGAACGTCTCACAGAGCAGCTGTAGAGCAGAATGAGATGGGTGGAGCTGAAGGCACAGGCCAGGCACTTTGTAGGTGTTAAGGAATATCCAGTTATCCCAAGTCTCTGATGGCAATCCTTTTAGCGAGCCATTACTTCTTCCCCTCTGTGACCTAAGTCAGTGATGATGGGCCTAAAATTAGGTGGGGCTGGGAGTTCCCCTGTTTTTAGGCCCATGGATTGTCTCAAAGTGGTGCATTTCAGAAGAATAATGAGGTCCTTCGGGGAGATACTGGTTGGTTCCCAGGGCAGGGTGGAATGTTGGGATTTGACCAGGATCATGACCCAACCAGGGATGTGGTTCGGAGTCTCCTCCCACAAGAAGACTTAGATAGAAGGCAAATTTTGTAACACTTTTTAGGAGCAACGGACTCTTTGGGAGCCCTGGCACTTTTCTGCTTAGTGATCCAGAACTTTTGCAAAGGCACGTGATCAGGTTTTTATTCAGGCCTCAGAGCTAAACATTCAGTGGTACCCAAGGCCTGGGCATGAGCTTGATGGAGGCCAAGGACCATGACTTTCTCTTGGAAGCTGCACAGTTTCTAGCCAGGCCATGTAGGAGCAGGTCAGTATTTGCTGGGTGAATGAATGAATGAAGTAAGGCCCAAATGGAGTCTAGCCAGAGAAAGGAGCTAGGACAGTGAGAATGGCAGGCAGGGAACCGACCTGGAGAGTTGGAGGCTTGTGGTGGCTGGGAACAAGGTTGGAACATCACAGATGTCACAGACAATGAGAGTGCAGATTGTAGACCAGTGCAAAGCCCATGCCTATTCCCACAGAAGTCTCTGTGTTGGTGGCACCCCAGTTTGCACGGTCTCTAGGCCAGCTGTAGTCTTCTTAGTGGGCATCTCATTAGGCAGCTTGGGGCAGCCCTGTTCTCTCTAGAGAGTTGAATTGAACAGGGAATATGAATTAATCCATCTTCTATTGCCAATAACACAACATCACAAACCTTGCAATAGGGGTTAAATTTCAACACATGAACCCTTGAGGGCGCTCAAACCAAATCCAAATCATAGCAGGCCAAGTTGGGGTCAGCTTGGGTGCCAGGGTTTCTTAATCTGACTTTTGTGATTGCCTACTTCCTGATTCAAGTGAGGCCAGAAGATCTAAGGTCCTGTACGTGAGTCACCTTTGGGCGGCAGCTGGCACTTTTCTGCTTAGTGATCCAGAACTTTTGCAAAGGCACGTGATCAGGTTTTTAGTAGTCCATCCCTCCTCCTCCTCCTCTCCTCCCCCTCCTCCTCTTCTCCTCCTCTTCCTCCTCCTTCTCCTCTTGGTTCTCTTCTTCCTGTCCAAAATTCTTCCTTCCTTCCCTCCTTCCCCTGCTCTTACCTTGAGATCCATCGCTTCACCCCGGAAGCAGCCTGGCTTCATGGGTGCAGGAGATGGGTGAGCTAGGACTTGTGCAACATTTACTTATCTTTCCTCAAATGCATTCTACTAGGGGAATAGCCTCTAAACACCACTAACTGCTTTCAATATTGATCAGCCCCCACATACCGGCTCTTCCTATCCTCTGAAGCAAATCTAGACCCAATATCATTTCACAGTCCTCAGGTTCAAAATGATCATACCCCTAACCATCAAAGCTTCTTCTCTTGACAATAGGGTCAAAACTATGGATTTCCTCACCAGAAATAACCACTCACCTGCTTGCACTTGGTCTTGAGTACTAGTGCAGGGGGGAGCCATGAAATCCTGTGTTAAGAACCCTGGTTTGAATTGAAGTGTCATCTCTGGGCTTAATTCTTAGACCTCCTTTACTCAGAAAGATGCTGGGTAGGGCAAAGACAGAGTAGTGTTGTACAGCAGGGCCTGAAGCAAAGGTCTTTGCAAAGATAAATTCAAGTCCATCCTTCCTCATTATTTCCCTCCGTCTCTGAGGAGTCACTTGCATGACT